GCACCCAAGGTGGCCTCATAATGACCGGGATATGATCTCAAGATGACCTCAAGACGACCCCAACACGGCAATAATACTGCAACTTATGAGCCCCATCTTACTTCGAGCCGATCCCAGCATGGTGGGATCCGTGAACGGCCCGGGATTTTGGTCTACCCCATTTTTAATGGGTGGGATTTTGATCGTCCTGAACTAAACTTATAATATTAAAGCGGAATAAGCCAGGCGGGATCCCGCCCGGCCCACGGAGGAAGACAACATTGCTAGGCTTCTACGGGGGTAGGGGGTTCGGAAGGGGCGTCGTTTACTTCCGCTGACATTGGCAAGCCTTCCGGCGGCCTTCCCCCGTCTTCCGCCTCGTTTTACTTCCGTCGACTTCCGCCGGCCAGCGTCGTGATGAAAATTCCACGAACTTTCATTGGGCCGATGTAAGGATTTCGCTACCTAGGACTCCCTAGGAATCCTTAAGAATCCCTGACGACTCCTTGCACAAACCGAACGCCCTGCGCGTCCGGGTCCCTAGTGAAATCCTTTGGGAACCCAGCAAATCCGTAGGATTTGCAAGGATTCCTAAGGATTTCACCACCCAACAATCCTAGGAATCCCTAGCGACTCCTTGCGCAAACCGAACGCCCTGCGCGTCCAGGTAAATAGCGAAATCCTTCAGAAACCCAGCGAATCGATTTGCAAGGATTCCTAAGGATGTCACTACATCGCAATCCCAAGGAATCCGTAGGAATCCATAGGAATCCCTCGGAATCCCTAAGAATCCAAAGGAGTCCTTTTGAATCCTAAAAAGCAATACCCTGGCGACGTACCCAACCCCTGCGCAAACGCGGGGCGCAAATAGTCTAGGACACTTTATAAAGGAGGGCGATGACGGAGCGAGGGTTACATATGTCTGCAGACGGAATTCGAGAGACTCGCAGGACACTGGCTGCAGGACAAGGACTAGATAAATCCGATTAGTTACAATCCCTGAGCAACCCTAGCCACTTCGAAAGCGGGTATCTCAGATCGCAGCCCCCCAGGGATGGCGAGGTCTGATTTGGGTCCGCGCGTGACGTCACTGTGCTGGGCCCCCCAGCAGGCCCCAGCAGGCCTTGAAAGTGGCGACAGTTTCACAGATCGCAGCCCCCCAGGGATGGCGAGGTCTAATTTGGGTCCGCGCGTGGCGTCACTGTGCTGGGCCCCCCAGCAGGCCTCGAAAGTGGCGACAGTTTCACAGAACGCAGCCCCCCAAGGATGGCGAGGTCTAAGTTGAATCCGCCCGTGGCGTCACTGTGCTGGGCCCCCCAGCAGGCCTCGAAAGTGGCGACAGTTTCACAGATCGCAGCCCCCCAGGGATGGCGAGGTCTAATTTGAATCCGCCCGTGGCGTCACTGTGCTGGGCCCCCCAGCAGGCCTCGAAAGTGGCGACAGTTTCACAGATCGCAGCCCCCCAGGGATGGCGAGGTCTAATTTGAATCCGCCCGTGGCGTCACTGTGCTGGGCCCCCCAGCAGGCCTCGAAAGTGGCGACAGTTTCACAGATCGCAGCCCCCCAGGGATGGCGAGGTCTAATTTGAATCCGCCCGTGGCGTCACTGTGCTGGGCCCCCCAGCAGGCCTCGAAAGTGGCGACAGTTTCACAGATCGCAGCCCCCCAGGGATAGCGAGGTCTAATTTGAATCCGCCCGTGGCGTCACTGTGCTGGGCCCCCACAGCAGGCCTCGAAAGTGGCGACAGTTTCACAGAACGCAGCCCCCCCAAGGATGGCGAGGTCAAATTTGAATC